CATATAACTGATGTATTGGAAACCGCACACAGACACCGTGGTCCTTTTTTCTGTTATAAAGAGCTGCACATGTTGATGTCTTATTGCATTGCATTGTATGTTTTCTGGTTGATGTATTTTTGAAATTCTATATTAGGTTGACTGGTTATTAGGCACATTCCTGTTGTCTAGTCACAACATTCAAATTGAGTTGATTAGATTAGAATGTGTGTTTTTTCTTGTCTTTTTATTTTTACTAGCAAAGTGCTAATAAATGTTAATTCAGGTTTGGGGTGTGTTTCCTGCTTGAATTTGGTTAAAAAGGGCAGTGAATTTGCGCATACTTTGAGAACTTGCTTCTGTGTATCAGACACAGTGTTTTCTTAGAGATTATTTTGAACTGAAGACACGTTTAACCACGTTAAATCTTAGCCTGTTGGTGATAGTCATTTACTCTGTGTTTTTCAGTAATGTATCATGTACACTGTAATTGTTTGTGTCAATTCTTTCATGACTAATAAATTATATTAGTTGAATTGAGTAAATGCATTCCTCGTTTTAGAGATTAATTATTTGACTATATGCCTATAATTTAGTAGTCTATTGATAGTTGTTATATACACTATACACATAGCACATGCTTGGGTACCAACTTGACATCCCTGATCCGCTTGCCTCAATAAATTAATGCTAGAACATTGGTTGCCAGGATTAGCTATTTATATCTAGTTTCTTAATAAGTGCATAATGGTGCAAGTCAGACATGTTCACTGTAGTCATACTGAGTCATTTTGCTAGATACCCCAGAGACGCACAGGGCCTGTTGCATTTATTCACATAATAATGGAGTCAGATTGATAAACGTAATTTATTCATCAACATAAGTTCTACACAACTACAGTAAATAGTTTCAGTCAGTAATTTTGGTCAGTAGTTGTGTGGTTATGGTCAGTAGTTGTGTGGTTGTGGTCAGTAATTATGGTCAGTAGTTGTGTGGTTATGGTCAGTAATTTTGGGCAGTAGTGGTGGTCAGTAGTTGTGGTCGTGGTCAGTTGTGTGGTTCAGTAATTGTGTGGTCAGTAGATGTGGTCAGTATAAACTACAGTTGTTTCGTGTGATGAGAAGTGATCGAGTAAAATATGAAGCAAGTGAACAGAGACAGCTTTGTTGGCCAGATCGGGGAAGGTTTTTTATTTGTAAAACATTTGCAAACATTTCTAAAAAACAGTTTTTGCTTGTCATTCTGGGGTATTGTGTGTAGATTGATGAGGTAAGAATTAAAAGTCAAGGGGTCTGAATACTTTCCAAATGCACTGTATAATAGAAGCAGTTGATGGGTTACTAAAACAGCTCAAACTATTGATTGGTAGAAGCTATTCCTAAACTTCCAGATTTGAAAAGCAGAAAAATAATTCATACGCTCTTTGTCTGACTTGTTGGGGGAGTGGTCTAAACGGCAGATTGGAAGTTTGGGGGGGGGGGGGGGGGGGGAGTTGTATCGTTAAACGATTTGAATAGGAGAGAAGTAGAGGAAGATTTCATATGCTATAACTTTTTGTCTAAATTGTTGGCAAAGTGGTCAAAGGTTGCATTGTTGCATTCACAGTGAATGGAATGTTAGAAGTGATGTCACAATGGGGCCTTTTAGAATCTTGAGGAAATGCCATGAAAGTGTATTAGTTTAAGTATAAAATATATTAAAAAGTTGTACACAAGCACACTATTCCAGACTGATCTGTACGTTTTAAAGTTTGAATAACGTTTCTATCAAACGGTGTAGGAGGGAGTATTGTTTCAGAATGGGAGGTTTGCTTCGCAAGTCCCATTAATAACATAAGGGGTCTCCTGTAGCTCAGTTGGTAGAGCATGGCGCTTGCAATGCCAGGATTGTGGCTTCGATTCCCACGGGTGGCCAGTATGAAAAATGTATGCACTCACTAACTGTAAATCTCTCTGGATAAGAGCGTCTGCTAAATGACTACAATGTAAAATAAGTTAGAAGTATGTCTAAGATTTAAAGTGGGGACACTTGCTTCACAAGCCCCATTAATAATAACTACACTGAATCAAAATAAAACGTAACATGCAACAATTTCAAAGATTTTACTGAGTTACAGTTCATTTAAGGAAATCAGTCATTTGAAATAAATTCATTAGACCCTGTATTCACAACTGGGAATACAGACATACATCTGGTGGTCACAGCTACCGTAAAAAAAAAAAGTAGGGATGTGGACCAGAAAACCAGTCAGCAACTGGTGTGACCACCATTTGCCTCACGCAGTGCGACGCAGCGCGACATCTCCTTCGTCGATCCAGAGCATCCCAAACATGCTCAATGGGTGACATGCCCAGTGAGTATGCAGGCCATGGAAGAACTGGGACATTTTCAGCTTCCAAGAATCGTGTACAGATTCTTGCGACATGTGGCTGTGCATTATCATGCTGAAACATGAGGTGATGGCGGCGGATGAATGCACGGATGAATATATATCTCTGTCCATTCAAATTGCCATCGATAAAATGCAATTGTGTTCGTTGTCCATAGCTTATGCCTGCCTGCCCATACCATAACCCCACCATGGGGTTCTGGTCTCCCACACATGCTGCCACCTGCCCGGTACAGTTGAAACCGTGAGCATTTGCACACTGAAGTCGGTTAAAACATCGAACTGTAGTCAGGTCAAGACCCAGGTGAGGACGACGAGATGAGCTTCCGGTTGGACATACTGGCAGATTCTCAAAAAATGACGTTGGCGACAGCTTACAGTAGAGAAATGAACATTCATTTATCTGGCAACAGCTCTGGTGGACAATCCTGCAGTCAGCATGCCAATTGCACTCTCCCTCAAAACTTGAGACATCTGTGGCATTGTGTTGTGTGACAAAACGGCACATTTTAGAGTGGCCTTTTATTGTCCCCAGCACAAGGTGCACCAGTGTAATGATCATGCTGTTTAAATCAGCTTCTTGATATGCCATACCTGTCAGGTGGATTGATTATCTTGGCAAAGGAGAAATGCTCACTAACAGGGATGTACATTTCTGGGATCTTTTATTTCAGCTCTTGAAACGTGGGACCAACAATTTACATGTTGCGTTTATATTTTAGTTCAGTGTATAAGTCAGAAGTATGTAGAAGATTTAAAGTGGCTTGCTTAGCAAGCCCCATTAATAAAACCTCTTCTTTGTTTGTAGCCATGCATCTTGTCATGCTCCCAAGACAGCACCCTGAATCCCATGTTGACGGAGGTATGCAGTACCTCTCTCGTCATGGTGTCAGTGTAGTTTTGCAGTTAGGCTGCATCCCAAATGGCACCCTATTCACTATATAGTGCACTACTTTTGACCAGGGCCCATGGGGCTCTGGTCAAAAGTAGTGCACTATTTAGGTAAATGGGTGCCATTTGGGACACAGTCTAAATCAAATTGTGTGAATCCAATCATGAACTTTGGTGTACTGGCCATGCCAATAGCTAAAATTAGAATGCCTGGGTTGAATGTGTAAATGGTCTGCTACATCAACACACTGCAGGTTGAGCATAGTAGTAGTTTTGAGATACTTTTGACTGCTTAAGTGGAAACTGAGCTCTGCTAGTGGAGAGCGGTGTCCAGAACAGACTGTAGTGGAAACTACCACTCTAAATGGCTATCCCATACAGGCTGGACCACTGAGGGCTGGGTGCGTGCGTGCGTGCTTGTATGAGTTCCAAAGAGAGGACTGCAAAGCCATGTTGACTTGAAATCCACTAAACCCACTGAACCTCTACTGTTGCTGTGGCTATTTTTTATACTGCAGTTGGATATTTACTGTACATTATAAAGGTCTTGTTGTAACTTTTAGCTGACCAAATAGCGTAACGAATGTCATACATCAATTGCAATACATATATTGTACTTAAGACAGCTGTGCTTTGGACAAGAGTTCAGATGAGGTGCACTTTGGGGTTTTATTTGGAGCGCACCCTATGAAGACTGGAGATCTAAGCCTAGTTATTCTCCCACTTGCCTGCTCACCATTCTACCTGTCTGTATGATGGAGGAAGTCATCCCTCCTACCCCAATCACCCCCTGGGGGATGTGTGTTCTGGCTGTGGCATGGACGCCCCCCCCCCCCCACACACACACACACACACACACACACACCCCCCATGGGATACACAAACACACAGCGTGCAGACACACACACACACACATTCCCCTCTCATACACAGTGAGATGCAAACAGAAACGTGTGTGTCTGCACACTGTGCAGGCTTGCTGCATGAGTGGACCAGTAGACATCCTGAGTGAGACGAAGCCAAGTGTGTGTGTCATCCCAGGCCATTCCATGGTAAGCAGACAGGACACGTGGGTGACAGACTGTCTGCAGCCACCACGCCCCGCTATTCTTCACTTCCCTTGGCTCCACTTCACTTGTCCGCTCTGAACTTGACTCAGTCGTCTGCTCTCTTCATCACCCCTCCCTTCGCTCCCCCTCCAAGGCTGCGTCCCAAATGGCACCCTATATAGACTTGGCTCTGGCCAAAAGCAGTGCACTATGTAAGGGAGAGAGTGCCATTTTGGGATCAAGCGTCTAACTGACCCCTATTACGGGAGCACACTTCCTTAGCTGGCTCCAGTCAGTGGGACTTGGCCACTGTGATAGCACAGGCACACTGCACTTCACTTAGCTGCTGCTACTACTACTACTACTATCCATTTGATCCAGTTTCATTTCCTGCACCCCCCCCTTCTCTCCCCCCCACCCTTCTTCCCCTCCTCCCACTCTGCCTCTTTCGCTTTGGTAAGCTCTCTAAATGTGAAGATGGCCCCCATGCAGTGTCAAATGCAGAGAATTTGGTGTGAAGCAGTGTGCGTATTTGCCGATATGCCTACCTGAGTACTTAGTGTAGTGTGTACACGTGTGTGAGTACGTGTGTGTGTGACGTGTGTGTTTATGTGTGTGGGTTTACCTACCTGCTGATGCTGCTCTTGCGGGACAGTGTGTTGCTGGGGGAGGCAGGGGGCGTCTGGTAACTGTAGCTGTAGTCGGATCCCTTCAGATCCAGGATCACCTGTTGAGAAGTTGGGAGAAAAAAGCTTTTAATGTGTGAGAATGAGTACATGGAACTGTGGGAATATCTAACACTGTGTGTGTGTGTGTGTGTGTGTGTGTGTGTGTGCGAGTATGTGGTTAAGTGCATTTGGGAAGGTATATTGATGTCTCTGTGTGTGTGGCGCGAACAAGTGTGTGTGTGTGTGTGAGTGAATCATCCAGCTTACCTGTTCGCTGGCGGGGGGCAGTTTGCTGGGCTCAGCCGTCAGGTTGCTCAGGTCTTCCAGGATGGTCTGCAGGTGGGTCACTTCCCCCAGCATGCAGATCTCATGATCCTGCACACACACACACACACAAACACACAACCACAGATCAGATCACAGACACACAACCAATCACCAAAAACCACAGCGTTGCCCCTAACCACAGATCCCAGAAACAACTAACAGTTACAAATAGCCCCTAGTAACAAAGCTTGGGCGGTATACCAGGGTATTTGGAAATAGCCACGGGATGGTCTTTCAATACCGTCAAAACAATTTCTTTGAAGTTTTTCAATAAATGTGTATATTTATAGCAATTCTTTTTGTAAATACCAGCAGTCAACTTGTGCAATACGTTAGGAGATGAAGCAGATCACATTATTTTACATTCCGAAGCTTACCGTAGTTCCCCAGAACAGTTAAACCAGTCACGTTTGTTTGTAAATAGGACAATGAGAGAAAGCGTGAGTCCAGCTGTGTATTGACAAGGGTCACGTTTTATATTGAAAGTGAGTGTGTTTTTTTTGCTTCAATAGAGTGAGTGATCAGGGAGGTGCAACTATAGTTTTCCTTCACAGAACATACATTAGTGCAAGACATTCAGCAGAAAACAGCTTAAATTTGATCAGATGACAAGAGAAGTGCAACCCTATTTGACTGGCAGCAACACAAGTAAATGAGCTTACAATGAAAAAGCAAGGTCTTATTTGCAAAAATGATGCATGGCCATCATATTTCTCCTCCCTCATCTTCCCTAGTCCTTTCGGGAGACCAGATAATATGTTTACAAATTCCATCATTGGATGGTTCTACAGCTGGGTTTTCCATGGAACTCCATAGGCCAGCATAGCTGATCTAAGTTGAGGTTAAAGAAAAAAGACTTACCTGGTAATATAAATGCTTCTTTCAGATCTTTCCATGTCCTCAAACCATTACATCGCAAAGGGTATGGATACCACATTTGGACCATTGGGGCGATGTGAAAGGCCTTCCTACAGATCGCAAGGCATTATTGTTAAATATTGGAGTCTGGGCGTCCCAATGGTCCAAATGTGGTATCCATACCCTTTGCGATGTAATGGTTTGAGGACATAGCAAGATCTGAGAGAAGCATTTATATTACCAGGTAAGTATTTTTTCTTTAACTTCAACTTAGATCAGCTTTTTTAAACTATTTTCTACATTGTTGAATAATAGTGAAGACATCAAACTATGAAATAATACATATGGAATCATGTAGTACCCAAAAAAGTGTTAAACAAATCAAAATATATTTTAGATTTCAGATTCTTCAAAGTAGCCACCCTTTGCACTCTCTCAACCAGCTTCATGAGGAATGCTTTTCCAACAGTCTTGAAGAAGTTCCCACATATGCTGAGCACTTGTTGGCTGCTTTTCTTTCACTCTGCGGTCCGACTCATCCCAAACCATCTCAATTGGGTTGAGGTCGGGTGATTGTGGAGGCCAGGTCATCTGATGCAGCACTCCAACACCCTCCTTGGTCAAATAGCCCTTACACAGCCTGGAGGTGTGTTTTGGGTCATTGTCCTGTTGAAAAACAAATGATAGTCCCACTAAGCGCAAACCAGATGGGATGGCGTATCGCTGCAGAATGCTGTGGTAGCCATGCTGGTTAAGTGTGCCATGAATTCTAAATAAATCACTGACAGTGTCACCAGCAAAGCACCCCCACACCTCCTCCTTCATGCTTCATGGTGGGAACCACACACACAGAGATCATCCGTTCACCTACTCTGCGTCTCAAAGACTCGGCGGTTGGAACCAAAAATCTCAAATTTGGACTCATCAGACCAAAGGACAGATTTCCACCGGTCGAATGTCCATTGCTCGTGTTCTTGGCCCAAGCAAGTCTCTTTTTCTGATTTGTGTCCTTTAGTAGTGGTTTCTTTGCAGAAATATGACCATGAAGGCCTGATTCACGCAGTCTCCTCTAAACAGTTGATGTTGATGTGTCTGTTACTTGAACTCTGTGAAGCATTTATTTGGGCTGCAATTTCTGAGGTGCAGTTAACTCTAACGAACCTATCCTCTGCAGCAAAGGTAACTCTGGGTCTTGCTTTCCTGTGGCGATCCTCATGAGAGCCAGTTTCATCATAGCGCTTGATGGTTTTTGCGACTGCACTTTAAGAAAAGTTCTTGACATTTTCCGGAATGACTGACCTTCATGTCTTAAAGTAATGATGGACTGTTGTTCCTCTTTGCTTATTTGAGCTGTTCTTGCCATAATTTGGACTTGGTATTTTACCAAATAGGGCTATCTTCTGTATACCACTCCTACCTTGTCACAACACAACTGATTGGCTCAAACACATTAAGGTAAGACATTTTACAAATTAACTTTTAACAAGGCAGACCTGTTAATGTAAATGCACTCCAGGTGACTACCTCATGAAGCTGGTTGAGAGAATGCCAAGAGTGTGCAAAGCTGTCATCAAGGCAAAGCATGGCTACTTTGAAGAATCAAAAAAATATTTTGATTTGTTTAACACTTTTTTGGTTACTACATAATTCCATTTGTGTTATTTCATAGTTTTGATGTCTTCACTATTATTCTACAATGTAGAAAATTGTAAAAAATTAAGAAAAACCCTGGAACAATAAGGTGTCCAGAATTTGACTGGTACTGTACATTCTGAAAATGCACTATGGATTTCATCCCAATAGCCGGAAGGGGCAAACATAGGAAGCATTGAGCTCACAATTCAACCAAGGCAATATATTCATTTTCACAATAGAAATTCTGCCAGTTAGAGCGACTGGGATGTTAATCCATCTACTGAGGTCTGATTGAATTGATTTGAGCGTTATGTTTTAGTTTTTAGGCAATGATTTTATCTAAAATAAATATATATATATATCTATTCCTAAATATTTAAAATGGGAAACGATTGGGATTCCATAAGAAGAGATGGGGTCCCTCTGTCGGGTTCTTAAGAGGCAGATTTATTTTAAAACGTGAAATGGAGCTGAATTTGATCTTCAAAGCATTTGGGAGAGATTGAGATACATTGGCTAGATAAAGTAAGATATCGTCGGCGTATAATGAGATGACGTGATCCGTAGAATTGAGAGATATTTGGTGTAATTTCTTTCAATTTTAGCACCCCTTCTCCCTCAGGAGGTTGAAACGATTTGGCATGGCCCCTCAGAACTTTTACAGCTGCACCATCGAGAGCATCCTGACTGGTTGTATCACCGTCTGGCAACTACACTGCCCTGGACCGGAAGGCCCTACAGAGGCTGGTGCGGACGGCCCAGCACATCACTGGGGGTAAGCTCCCAGGACGTACATGGCAGGCGGTGTCGGAGAAAGGCCCCAAAAATTGCCAGACTCCAGCCACCCGGGACATGGACTGTTCTCTATGCTTCCTTCCGGCAGGTGGTATCAAGGCTCAGACCAACATACCCCTAAACAGCTTCTATCTCCTGGCCATAAGACTGTTAAATGGCTAACAACTACTGCTCTCCCACAGTCTATCCACATTGACTCATCCACAGGTCTCTACCCACTAAGACAGCTTACACACCCCCCCCCCCCCCCCTTTTTTTATTTCTCATATTTTTCTATTTTGATATTGAATACTGCATTGTTGGGAAGGGCTTGCAAGTTAAGCATTTCAATGTACTTGTGCATGTGACAAAACGTTAAGTAACACTGTCTGCGTCCCAAATGGAACCCTATTCCCTACATAGTGCACTACTTTTGACGAGAGCCCTATGGGGAACTGAGGCCTTGGGGCACTGACTGTCCTATCACCATCAATCACTGCCAGATTCACCCAAGAGACTCTCTCTCATGTCAACAGTGTAAACACCAATGAGCTTGCATGGTGTTTCATTATGGGGTTCTGGGGCCTCCAACCTGTTCCCATCACTAAAACAGAAGCCAGAGACTTTTTATATAAAAATAGATCAACTTTAGCAGCTGAGCATTCCAACTAGATCCTTGGGCCAGTCTAGGCCTAGGTAGTACTGACTGATTCTGGGTCAGATGAGAGTATAAAGCCCTCACCCACACAGTTTTGGCTTGAATCATAAAGACTGATTCTGGATTTTAATTATAATAACAACCACCCCAAAAATACATATTTGGCATGGAAACTGATTCTAGATCAGACTGATTCTGGATGAGACGATAACCCCAGCACAGGTTTGACGTGAATACTGACAGATTCTGGATCAGATGAGACTATAACTAACTCATGAACACATATTTGTCATGAACACCGACTGATTCTAGATCAGATGATAATAATATAACCTACTCACCAGCACAGGTTTGAGCATGCTGACAAAGGCGCAGTAACGGCCCCTCTCTTCGATGAGCGCCCGGCACACGGCCCTCTTCTCAGTCTCCTCCAGCACAGCATAGCGCACGTTCACGTCCTGCAGGGCGCTGTCCAGCTGCCCGCGCACCTCGTCCTTTCCTAGGGAAACACAGGGGGGAACCAAAGTTGACAGGCAGAGCAGACTGGGGGCTCCCGCTCTCTGACTGACACACACACGCACCTCAATACTTCACAAACACACCCGTAATGCCAAAACACACCTTCCATATCCATGCACTTACCAATTACATAACACACACACACACCTACACAGTATAATAATTACACACACACACAATAGGCTAACTGAATCCATTATCACATTTTCTAACTGGGCTCAGAAAGAGATACAAAAGCTGTTGGAAAGAGGGACCCAACAGGTCCCTGAATAAAAGCCTTATGATAGAGATGAGAGGCTTACACAAGTCCCTGGAGTAGGATTCAGGGTAGCAGGCCTGCCTCCATTAATAGACCTGAGTGTTTGCGTACCAAATGGCACCCTAAGTCGCAATATAGGGCTCTGGTCAAAAGTAGTGCACTACATAGGGAATAGGCCAATACGGTGCCATTTGAGACACAACCATAGTGATCCCCCCTCAACCATCACCATCCCTGATTTCCTATTATGTGCTATAGAGCCCAAAGCAGTCAGCTCACAAGCGGCAAAGCCCTACATCCCCCAATAATCCTCTCAACAAAGACCAAGAAAATACCCGAAAATGGGTTCCAACTATAAAACTCAAAGACGCTGGACCTAACGCTTCCAAAATACACACTTCTTTCTAAATCTTGGTTTTAGTCAGATATTTTCACGGTTAGACTGGTAAAATAGGCAAGGGTGAAGTTGCAATCTTGTCAGATCAGGTATATATTTGAGAGTTAACGGAATAAGGGACACATCCATTTTACATTTTAGTCATTTAGCAGATTATTTTACCCAGAACGACTTACAGTTAGTGCATTCATCTTAAGATCGCTAAGTGGGACAACCACATATCACAGACATATTAAGTATACTTTTCCTCAATAAAGAAGTTATCAGCAGTCGGAGCTAGAAAGGGGGGAGAGCGGTTGAGCTAAGGAGGGATTATTTAAGATACTCTTTAAAGAGGTAGGGTTTAAGGTGCTTTCGGAAGATGGGCTGGGACTCTGCTGTACTAGCTTCAGGGGGAAGCTGGTTCCACTATTGGGGTGTCAGGACAGAGGAGAGGTGGACTGGGCTGAGTGGGAGCTGGGGTGGGAGGGCCAAGAGGTGGCAGAATGGAGAGCTCGGGTTGGGGTGTAGGGTTTGAGTATAGCCTGAAGATAGGGAGGGGCAGTTCATCTTGCTGCTCTGTAGGCAAGCCCCATGGTCTTGTAGTGGATGCGAGCTTCGACTGGAAGCCAGTGGAGTGTGTGGAGGAGCGGGGTGCCATGGAGAACTTGGGAAGGTTGAAAACCAGGCGGGCTGCAGCATTCTGGATAAGTTGCAAGGGTTTGATGGCACAAGCAGGGAGCCTAGCCATCAGCGAGTTGCAGTTGTCCAGAAGGGAGATGTCAAGTGCATGGTTTAGGACCTGCACCGCTTCCTGTGTGAGGTAGGGTCGTATTCTACGGATGTTGTAGAGCATGAACCTGCAGGAGCAAGTTACTGCTTTGAAGTTGCCCTGAACGATAGGGTGTGGTCCAGCATCAAGCCAAGGTTCTTTGCAGTCTGGGAGGGCAACACTGTAGAGGTGAAAACCGTGATGGAGAGGTCTTTGAGCGGACAGGCCTTCCCCGGGAGGAAGAGCAGCTCCGTCTTGTCGAGGTTGAGCTTGAGATGCTGGACCGACATCCAAGCTGAGATATCTGCCAGGCACATAGAGATGCGTGTCACCACCTGGATGTCAGAAGGGGGGGAAGGAGAAAAGTAGTTGAGTGTCATCCGCATAGCAATGATAGGAGAGACTATGTGAGGATATGACGGAGCCGAGTGACTTGGTGCATAGAGAGAAGAGGAGAGGGCCTAGAATCGAGCCCTGGGGAATACCTGTAGTGAGAATACAGGCAGCACTTAAAGTAGATGGCCCTAACTAGCAAAAAGACAGTACTAGACAACAGATAAAGACAAAAATTACACTCCTGGAGATATATGGAGTCCTCTAGCTATAGAATGAAGCACACTCCTAACGTCCCTGACACCCTAACTGTGCTTCTAGTTCTGACAGATCAGCGCAAACGGCTAGGTCATGTTCATTGGGGCATACAGCAGAAAACATTTAAAGCCGTTTCACAACGGAAAGTGAAAATTTCCGAAAATAAAGTCCAGGTAAGTCCCTCCCACGTTTCAGTCTGTTTTATTCCGTTTAGAGCATAATGAACACGACCCTGTTAATGGGAGGCAGGATAGCACTTATTAGCCAAACGCAGAAGAAATCCAGGTTCTGATCTGATTTAAGACTTTAAAGGACCTTCGGGCAAACCAGTTGCCATGTGAGGAGAGCTTTGGCCATCATATGATGGTCCTTCTGAGGGAAGGAAGGGGGAAAATAAGAATGCCTCAATGTTTAGTAAAACTTTCAGGTTTCAAACAATTAAGTATCAGTTTTCAAAATGCATACTGCCTCCAGCTCACATTGCAAAGTGGTGGGTGACGCGCTGATAGCCTGCCTACCGTTGCCTATGGGGGAATTTTGGGGATGGTGAAAAGCTTTCAGTGTAACCTTAAACGACTACAACCAGATATTAAGTATGTAGAAAGGATAATGAAGCAATATATTTTTTTTAAAATATCATTTTAGAGTAACAATCGCCAAAATAAAAACTAGACAGTCAGGGAGAATCTGAAATTCCAAACATTGATTTTGTTATGTTTAAGTCACTCAGCATAAGAAGGAGACATAAGCTATGGCAAAATGTGTATAATTGCAGGAAATTAGCTTTAAAAAGGAACATTCTCTCAGCCCTATGGCATAATGTGTAGAATTGCAGGAACTTAGCCTTCAAACTGCCATTTTTCTCTCAGCCCCATGGCAAAATGTGTAGAATTGCAGGAAATTATATGTAAAGCAGCAACATTCCTCTAAAACTGTGCCATTGGCCACACCCACTACCACATTTATTCCCTTCTCACACATATAACCTCCGTCTTTATGGAGTGGTGTCTCCATAAGAAAAAATAATACAAAATAAAAATGTATGCACTCACTAACTAAGTCGGTCTGGATAAGAGTGTCTGCTAAATAACTAAAATGTAGAATGTGTCTGACGTAGAACAGCTAACTTTGGAGATGACCCTGAGCAGAAGTATGAGATGTCTAGCGCACCGTTAGGGCTTGAGATGCAATGCATAGCCTATACACAGCACATCATCTCCTACATCTGGAGGTAGATACTGTACGTCTGCCAAATTCTAAGAATATTAGCATAGTAAGACAGCCACAACAGAGACAGCAAGGACTACGAGGTATGTCCTTAGGGGATCCACCAACCAGGATGTCTGGAAAACCTTGGAATTTTGGGGAAGTTACCGGAATTTCGCTACCCTCTAAGCCTATGTCCTGTAACCAAACTTCTCCTTTACATGACGTTCGTGTAGCAGCACATCCATAGTCTAGCATCCAGTCCAGTATACTGTATAGGCTATAAGTTATTCCAGCCAGCATGGCACAGCAAATGCTCTTCTCAATGGGCGATTCCTGTTGACTGGCAATAGAACAGTTTTCTAGGTTCTCTATAAATCCTATGATTAACTTTCTGAATGAAAGCGAGAACGGGGTGCAGTCTCATCCATCAGCTGACAACAGCAAACATTTATCTCGATGTCTGACGTTTAGATTTAGGGTTGGCTGTATTTTTTTTAGGGTCTGCGTCCCAAATGGCAACCTAGTCCCTACTTAGTGCACTACTTTTGACCAGAGCCCTGATCAAAAGTAGTGCACAATATTTGGAGCGGTAAAGATACAAATCAGGGGTGTGGAGCTGGGATGGATCACACTGTCGAGTGGAGAGACATGGCCACCCATGTTTATTTACTGCTAAGTCCTGTGTTTGGGATGAGGGATTTTAAACAGGGAAAGGGGGAGCGCAGAGAGAGCGAGAGAGGAGGAAGATAGGGAGGTGAAGAGAAGAGCGCGACAGAGGGCCAATTGTGGAAATAGAGGAGATGGAAAGAGAGAGTATTCCTAAGTCCCAGGGAGTGGTGCTCAGACAGTGCACCTGGGATAATAACAAGCTGGTACTTAACGAACTGTAAGAGGCTATAAACAAGCAGGAAAACCTGCAGCCGGAGGCTGCTTTCCTTGTTGCTGGCAATTTTAATCCTGCGTCATTAAGACACGTGATGCCCAACTTCCATCAACACGTCTCCTTCGCCACTAAGGGAAATAAAGACATTTTCCTCTACCCACAAGCACGCATAGAAGGTTCGCTGCTTCCCCAAATCAAAAGCCCTGGATTAACACTGACGTTGGCGCTAAACTAAAGGACAAGGCTACCGCACGCAGGTCTATCACAGACAACCTTGAGGCTACAGCTGAGGACAGGAACAAGTACAAGAAGTCCTGCTACGACATCCGCAGAGTCAAACGAGCAAAAGGACAATTTAGGAATAAGGTGGAATCATATTACACAGGCTCCGACGCCCACCACGTGGCAGGGGCTACAGTCCATTACGGATTACAAAGGAAGACCCAGTCATGATCTGCCCAATGAGGCCGCTCTGCCAGACAAACTCAATGCATTTTATGCACGCTTCGACAAAAATACTGTGCCGTGTGAAGGCCCCCACCGACCCAGAGGACTGGCTGATCTCGCTCCCAGAGACCGACATGAGTAAGGTCTTTAATCAGGTGAAAACTCGCAAGGTAGCGGGGTAGGACGGTATTCCAGAGCGTGTTCTCAGAGCATGTGCAGAACAGATGGCAGGCATATTCACAGTCATTATCAGCCACTCCTTGTCCCAGTCTGTAATCCCCATGTCTTAAACTGACCACCATCATTCGTGTTCCCACGAAAGCGAAGGCTTCCTGCCACAATGACTACTGCCCTGTAGCACTCACATCTGTAATCATGAAGTGCTTTGAAAGGCTGGTTATGGCACATCAACTCGTACATCCTAGACCCATTCCAATTTCC